GATTTCTATTGGCTTTTATAAACAGCCACGCCAGCTGTTTTCTGTCAGGTTACAATCATTACATTCCTACAACCCTTGTGTCAATTGTTTACATTTGTCGAATTATTTTTTTGTAAATAAAGATGTGCAATCCTCACACACACAAAATCTCCCATCGTGAAAGCAAAGAACCATACTGGATTACTGTGTTAACGTATGATCCATCAAATTGGAGATCAACTACCGAGTTGACAGGTACCCGAACGTCAGTGTTTCATAACGGGGCGCGGTTGTTTTTTTTAAAGAATCGCTGGTGCTCGGCAAATTTGCACGTGCTACTTAGGCGCCATTCGTATAAAAAAAGATACCATACCAACATTTCGCATTGACTTTAAGTTTTTCGGATACTAGTTATCTTTGATAGACGTGACAGAAGACCGTCTTGAACTTCGCAGCAGAAGCTCTCCACATGTTCTTGACCTTGTCCCGTTTACTGTATCCCACTAATTTGGCTTCTAAAAACTTGGTATAAAAGTCAGTCAGACAGTTAGCCTAGTAGGTTTACACTGGTAAAATTATTTTCGTGTGGTGGATTTGTGACACTGCAGCTGTTCAAGAATTTCAAATAACCGAATGGTATATAACTTTTGAGCAAACTTTCACAGTTGTCGGCTACCGCGATGTCAATACCGTGTTCATTGTGGTTGGGTCTATAGTAAATTTCAAAATTCGCCTTTATAGGCCTATGTTAAAATAGTTCTGAAAAATAATGTTTTGTGAAAAATCACTCAATACTTTTTTTTAAATATTAAAATATAACTAAAACAATATCGGGCCGGATTCTCGTCGCCAGAACTGTACTTTTCGTATGTTTTTGGACTTTAAAATTATGATAAGTTTGATTATTGGAATTTTAAAACTTTGCTGCATTATTGTCTATAGGTCTACTCGCAGGTTGTGACAACAGTTTTTACCATTATGTTTACTCGGCCAAACTGACAAATCCATGATGCATTGACGGATATTGTACCAATTTAAAACCCCTCCTGTCTTTTGACCTGTTTTCAATTCTCAAAGCCTGCCAAATCAATCAGTCTAAATTCCTTTTTCTATACCGGTCAGTCATCACATTGGTACAAAACTTAATATGTTATCCCTGCCCACTTCCCGGGAATCGACTCTGTTTACGCCTTCATGGCCCACTTCGGTACCGGGTCAACTAAAGAGAAACGTATAGCGCTTTTGTTGATGAAAACTTGTTCAAAACGCCGCTTCGTTTTCTCTCCGTATGTTTACTAAATTGGTGAGATTTCATGATAACTTGAATTTTATTAGCTTGAATTGTTGATCGGTTTGTACCATTTGTAAGAACTACTCAAAATAAGTTCCAATCGCTTATTAAATCACATTTTGTTTGGCATTCCTCGTATTTTTTTTTAAAACATGCGCACCAATGCTTTCTCAGTTTTATTTGCTGTACAGTTGAATTTTTTTTAGCGTGCATGCAGTTGTAATGTTTTGATGTTGTGATCGTGCAATTTCTGTGTATTGTAGTGTATACTTTTAATGAGAGACGGCAACATGTAATATCCAGTTTTAAATTTAATAAAATGTATCTACTTATCTATTTTATAAGACCCTCCCTTTACAAGTTTGCTATCTTCAGTAGATAGCACCGAATTCAATCCGTTGGCTTGCATTATTTTGCTAAGTTTATGCAACTGGTTTTTGATGTGGGTCGTTCAACAGATTAGGCCGGCTTAAGAAAAAAACTCCTATACGAGTTTTGAAATGGATGTTTGTGTTACAGGGCAATCTTTTGCTTATTTGATAACATACTCAGTTGAAGGTGGTGGATCTCGCGCATTCTGATCACACATTTGGCCATTCTTTTTGTCAAAAACTTGAAGCCAGTGGCATAACTACCGGGGGGGGGGGGGGAGGCACAGGGGAGCACGTTCCCCCTTAGCAGAGGTCCGTGCTCCCCAGGTGTCCCCCCATTTAAAATCTTGAATTGCACAATTACAAAAACAATATATCAGTTGCCTTCAGTGCCCACTTGAAAAATTGGTGCCCCCTCCCATGTGCCCCCTAGAAGTTTACCATTAGTTGCGCCGCTGCTTGAAGATGATTTGATTCAGTGCATAATGGTTTAAAAATCCATCACGCGAACCAGTTGCTGAACTGAACATTATGTACTAAGATAATAAATGAACAGCTACTTTTAAAGTTTTGGAGAAGAAAAAAATAGAAGAAATTCGAAAAAAAGTAATAAAACACCATCGATGTATACAAATCACAAAAGTATACAATTCTTTTATTTTGGACGGACGGATAGCTTCATGGTATGGTCACCGATCATGCTAATACCTCAAAGACAAAATCAGTCGTCAGATGACCCAGTATCATGGGCCTATCCCTTCATTTCCTCTATTGGGAGTTAGTAAGGATCAGCCTGACAGACGGCTGGTAATGAGAATATTCAAACCACGTGCGTTCGTGACCGATATACTACTTACTAGGACAGTGATGGCTTGTCTCAAGTGATGTAAAAGAAGAGGAAATTTGTGCAACAAAAGTTCCTTGGAGATATAGTTTCGTGTGTGAAATGTATTCATCATCAGTACGAATTTTGGCAATCAACAAATTTGACTTAATTTGTGAGAACATCTTTAGTGATTCATTCTTTAAAAAAAGACGAACAGTTCAAACAACCATAGAATGATTTTGTTCGACTTGTGTAGCAGCCAATAATTATTCGAAATTGTAAAATAAAAATTCAATAACTCGACACGGGCCGATTTCTTAGGTCGGTGTCTCATTCAAAAGTGAATAACTTTTGTATTGCTAGGAAAATAGCAATTTAGATAAAGAATCTATTTTTTGGGATAAAACTTGAAAATATCACGGGAAACGCAACTTTAAATATTTGTAATTACATATGATTTCTGGTTTTGCCCTTTGTAGAAAATAAACAATGTTGTTTGGCAAAGAAACTCTGGGTCATCTTATTTTGCCCAATGTAAACAAAAAAGTGTCTTTCGACCAACTGTATTTTGCTTTTCTGAATTTTTTTGTTTGATGTTTTACCAAGAAACTAAGAAAATGAAAATTAAGTCACGTAAAATAACTCAATCAATCATATCAGAGAACATGCTTTTAATATCAAGTTCATATAAGGAGCTGTTTCCCAACCAGTGTCCGGCAAGGGTTATCTTGTCTGTGGTATTCAGGTCATAAACACAAGCCTTAAGACCGACCAACCCAAACATTTCTGTGGTTTTATATTGCATTGATCAAGATTATGTGTGAGCTAACAAACTCTGTAAGGGGTTGTCGCCACAGATGTTATTTGCTTGTTGTAAGTTGCGGTTTCTGAGCGAGGTGAAACTGGGGTTACATCAGTCGAAGTTTTGACATCTCTGTTTGAGGTGTCATCTCAAATTAAATCGAAATTAAATGGGAAAATGTGGATTTTATTTTCATGTGGATAAAGTCACAACGAACAATATTTTGATCATAAGAAATGATCAACTGCTAATTAACAGTCTTCTAACTAACAGATTTAACAGTCTATCCATGTGAGGATCATGGTTTTTGTTAAATTCGTCATTTATTTCAGCTTGATATGCAAATCATTTGCTCTAAGCCATTTAAAAAATGTTACTTTTAATTTTACCAAAAGGTACTGTTTAGGCAGACACACCATATATTGGATGCCGAAACTCATTGATTGAATGAACAAGAAATTGCCATCAGACAGAGACAAGATGTATTATTTACAAGGTTTTCAATAATTCCTCCAGGAGGAATTAATATATTCTAAACATTTCAGCTACTTGTTTGTTTGAAGTTAAACCAACAAATAAAGGAACATGTGACATCCCACCCCAGCGTTTATCTGGTATCACTGACCCTATTAAGGCATCGGCATGGGACCCGCTCTTCCCATCAGCCCTCAGGGTCACATGGCAGGGATCCAATCAAACGACCAATCAAATCTGTTGGAAACGATTACACCTCCATCAGTCATTGGCATGGCAACAAGCGTTATCAATGTTCTGTCTTAAGGTTCCACCATTTAGCATTGTCAATACAGTTCACAAGGATGTAATGGAAATCATTCTTTATGCAAAAAATAAAAATTCTGGGTCTAGTTTCTTGGATCTGGGCGAAATTTTACTGGCTTGCTGTTAACAAAAGATTCACTTCTTACTGTAGCACACAATTCCATGGTAGTACACCCCTTAAAGGGCTCATGACATGGATTTTACTTGGGAACATATGTTATGCAACTTTCTACTCCTCTTAAGTGTTTGAAAACTAGGTGACATCCCTATTTGGTTAATTTTATTGAAAAGTGTACTCCTTTAAACATTCGAAATTGTCAATGCTTTTTCTGACAAATGAGGGCGCTGTTGCTGTGATGTCAATTCAGGAAGACACTGTTCAGTTTAAGGGTTTTCCGTTCAAATTGTAAACCCAAAATTTGCTCACAAATTGAAAACATTTGTGAGAAAACTTCGCTCACTGGCTTAATGTCATGTACTGAAACAACAACACATCACAAAAGAAAAGAAAATTTACAACAGCGAAATATCCATAATTTTGGCAAATTTTGGTGCTGAAATACCTTTAACATTGAGGTTTCTGCCTGAAATGACATCACTTTTGCTCATGAATATGGTAAATTTCTTAGCATAAAAACCAAAAAGGCACCAAAATGCCCTCAAAAATGGCAAAATGAAAATTGAAAATTTGGTTACATGGGACACAAAGGTGCATTTACAAGAATTGTGTTAGAAAACAAGAATTGACGAACATTTTATGAGACGAGTAACCTTTATTTTACAATTGTATCTAACTCCGGTATATTTTAGTTCATTAATATTTCCTTGCAACGAAGATAACATTCATATTGACACCCTAGTCAGTGCTTGTTTAAATTCTTTTTTGAAAGTTGTTAAAATGCACAAAGTTATAAAACATAACTCCCGTTCTCCTCTGTTTGACAATTTCAGACGTCACGTTTGCACCTCGGCCTCAACCAATGAGATCTCAACTGGTGTCATCGTGGAGTCCTACTGCCAGCCATACTTCAAACCCTACTTTGCCCGATGTGAACCGCAGGGCCAACTCTGCACCAAATACCAGTAAGATTATCAGCATTTTGTGATGGGATGGCGCTATTTTGAAGTGGGTAAATTTGGCTAAATACAAAAGAGATTACCCGCTCCAAAAATCGCCTCGTATTGTGTCCGCCATATCTCAAAAAGGCCAATGTAAGAATAGGACTTCTAAAAGTCTCACCTCATGACCAATACCAATTTAATTGACAACTTTGTTGCCCTCAAAATTGATTAATAAAAAAAAACCACCCCCACCCCACTCTTCAATTGAGTAACAGTCTGTAGCACACGGAAAGAGGGGAAATATGGAAGCTGACCTACTTATACAACAGAACACAGACTACAAGAAAAACTGGTATCTGGTTAGTATAGGTTGCGGACACAACGGACACAATACAGGAATGAAACTGTAAAACTATAATACAGTGTCCCGGGAAAATATGATACATGGTACCCAACAAAACATATAAAATACTATACTAAAACAGGGTACCAACAATTTGACCTGGGTCAAACAAAAACCAAAGGGAAACATTTCCTCTTAGTTATTAAAGTTTATGTAAAGGATAATGCCCGAGGTACGCGACATTCGTGGGTAAGAATGGCCCGAGGGCGAAGCCCGAGGGCCATTCTTACCCACGAATGGCGCGGTACCGAGCGGTATTATCCGACTTAAACTCCACCCGTGACGTCACCCTATTGTCCTAGCGCTCCATTATTTTGCACGAATGGAGCGACTTTGTTTCATACAAAGACACACGTTTTGTCTTATTGCGTAACTGTAAAATGCATTCAAAGGAATTGTACAGAATTGGACTGCGAATAGTATGTTAGCATAATGTTCTTACGTAACCAATACAATGCTGGATTCTAGGCGCGCTTGGTATAAATGCTAAACCCCACCAAGGCACCATGCATTCGTTCTTGACTAGCGTGTCTGACACGCAGTTTTCAATCTCAAGACGTTAGGACTGTTATGATAAAAATACGTGAGATACAGTGGAATTAAAGCGTGCCAGGGAACTGGCTTTGATACGGTGCTGATACTAGCTCCATGGATATATCGGATAATAATTTGCCGGCCGCTTCAAATTTTGCCTGGAAGATATGAAAGACCATTTCGACACTCCAAATGAATATGAAGATTGCATGAATGAGTATAAAGGTAAGAAGTACCCTTTTTGTTAAGTAGAAATAACAGCTAATAAAATCAGAAAAATTTAAATGTCGTATTTTGAGCACGATAATGTCAGATACATTAAGCTCTTCTTTAATTTGCTATCTGATAAAGTTTATTCAGACATCGTGTTTGCACTAAAACTGTTCTAATTCGAAGCTTTCTGTGTCGTCACTTTGTAATTGTAAAAGGTACCTGTGCTTTTTACGGCTTTGTGAGACTTAAGTAGATTTACAGGAATATGAACTTGTGCTTCCGTCTTATTGTTTGACCCCAAAAACTAATTTTCTGATTTTGTTTTCTCCTAGTTCTGCCTGTGGATAGTGTCACGAAGAAGGTCAAAACTAGCGGGCAGTCTCCAGTCGGACTACTTCGTCGACGGCATTACCAACGTAACTCGAGACTAGTAAAACTACTCATCGTTGGACAAGGAAGGACGAGCTAAAACCACTCAAAATTGCAAGACTAAGATTTTGGTGGTTTTTTTTTGTGTGCAAAATGGCTACAAGTGTTCCAGGCCGGATTTACATTGCACGAACTCGTGATTTTCCTTCAACTTTTCTTGGACACCATGGAAAAGACCTACACATTTCTTCAGGATGTTGAGTTCTTGCCGATCAAGAATTTCTAGGACTGCATGCTAGGCATTGAAACCCAGGAACAAGATTGAGAAATAAATTGCACTGCGAACCTTGTCAAAACATTTGCTTTCAATGTGAAACATATCACTGAAACGTTTATATTGTTACATGTAACATTACTTTGTGCAAACATTATGAACAAGAAAAAAATGGTTCTTGACTTTCGCCTCAACACTAAGAAATTGTATACGAGAATGCATAACATTCTATTTGCAAAACGGTGTAGCATACTGTATAAAAAATATGGTTATATTGACTTTCACGTAAAGAATGATGCCTAAAATTCCATTTAAGAAACGGTGTAGGGCCTACGAAAAAAATCTGTATGAGAAAAAAAATGGTTCTCGACTAACGTAAGCATTGTACGAAATGTATAAGAAAATGCATAAAATCATCATTGAGAAACGGTGTAAAAATATAACTGTGTCATTTCTGGTGTTTCTTTATTTCCCGCTCCATTATTTTGTAGGAATGGAGTGATGGAGGCTTTATTACCTTCCAAAAGAATGGAGAGGTATCGCCTCCAACGCTCCATTCGTGCAAAATAATGGAGCGCTAGGACAATAGGGTGACGTCACGGGTGGAGTTTAACTTCAGAAAAGATCTGTTTAGTTTCTCGGTGAGGATAAAAGGAAATGCTACTTCCCAAAACGTCAGTTTGATATACACCATAAAGTCAGTTGTGTAAGAAAGATTTGAGGTGGTCCATGGGTTGCTGACCGCAGAAACCCATGTCACCCTCAATATTTTTGTGTTGGCCTAACCATTTCTCCAAAATATTATGATTCACTTTACAAATGTAAACAATTGGTCATCGAAATCATAAAGTGGGCAGATGACTTAATGGCTTCATTCCTAGAACCTGGATTGATGGAAACTCAAGAGACAAAAAATTGGCCTTGCATATATGCTTCTTTAAAAAAAGAACATTTGCAATAACATTGTTCAAAAATTATAACATCTTAAGAAAAAGAACGTCCACTCAGGTAGCCATTTGCCATGTTCCTAAAACTTGTCTTCATCCCATGTTTAGGCCAAAAAAAAAATAAGTCGGTCTTTGGTCAGCGCGCGCGTCGATTTTAATCATGCGCGTTGATGTTTTTTTTTCCCAAAATGTTCTGCGGTAGCTCCAACAGCGCCCTCTATTTCCGCACCTCCTCAATTTTTTTACCAAAGAGCACCAAGGAATGGGAAATTGCACCAAGGCAAATGATCGAAAGCACCAAGGCAAATTATGGAGGACACCAATGTACATGAGGACACCAAAAAAGCAAAATAGTACCCCACCTTGTCTGTACAATCCAAGCTTGAAGAAAAAAAAAAAAAAAGGAAAAAAAAAAAAAAAAAAGCCGCGTGGCCGCGTCAATTCCGGAACTTTGGTCTGACCAGAGACCGAATTTTTTTTTTTGTGCCTTATCTTGGACATGGTCTTTTCATAATTAAGAATAATCGTAGTAGAATTTTTTCACTATTCAGTTTAGCATTCCTTTGCAAAATATTCAAAATGCTATAATACATGTACACCACACAAGAGCAAGCACCAGCCTAATATGTCGTGAAGTCATGTTTCCTTCTGTATAACGTGATAGTGTCAGAAGCCCTACCCTTCCTAAATCATAACATGAAACAGGTCAACGTTCCGAATTGTATTGGAGCAAGACGGTCATGTTTATCACTGCACACACAGAACATCCTGAATGTCCTGTGAAAAGTTAGTCTAACGGACCCCATCTCCTGGTTGATTTAAGTAAGGTTTGTGATAAGGCATATGGGTGGGTGAGTGAAACATTTGGGGATAGGCAAAGATTAGCCTAAAAATAACCTCAAAATCTCTCACGGCGGATTAAGAGTCTGAGACCGAGTCTGAGACAGCCAGCGTTTCTTTGGACATTGGCCAAGTGACCTTTATGACGGGGTCAACTTTAATGAAAGTATACAATGTACATGAGTCTGCGAATAGGATGCTTCACTCATTGTGAATGCTGCACGAGCATGAGCATGCTGAGAAAGTAAGCCAGTAAGGTAACATTGTCGAGGCAAGTAGCAACCAATAAGATTTCAGAATCACCGATGCGTTGCTTGTCCTCATAATATACGTGTGATATGAGCTCAGGTCTCCAGTCTAAGGTAACAATGTAAGATGTAGTCTGAATTCAAGGCTGTAATATTTTTGTTATTCCTGATTCCAAGCAAGCATGGAGGGCGCTCTTTCTTTGAAGCTGTCCTTGCTGATTCATTTGTATTGGGACATTCTAATATGGGCGGATCTAGCTAACAGGAAACGGGGGAGGGGGGGGTGATAGGAAGGTGGAGGGGGTTGAGTGAAGGGTATCCTGGGGGGATTTTTAAATCTTCAATGCTTTCCTCCATTCTAAGGCAATTTGAGAATACATTTTGGAACTTTAGCTTTCATTTATATTTTTTTGGGCCCCATTTTACTAGTTTCACAACATTAGTCAGCGGTTGAACTGGGGAGGGGGGGGGGGTTGTGACTCCCCCCCCCCCTCGATCCGCTACTGACTACTGTAATATGGTCTACATGTCACGTTCTGCTGTTGTCAAAATCGATCAAAATTACACATTTTCAGTTGACAATTTTGTTGACTAAGTAGCAGCACAGCTCAGTTTTAGGCAACCAAAACTTGAACATAATTAGATCATGCTTCTTGTGCCAAAAGAAGTTTTCAGGAGCGATTTCCTGTTTAGCTTTGGCTGACAAATCGGTTGTAACTGAGCCGTTTCTTGGAGCATTTCTAATCCTACAGTGACCTTCACGTATCATTTTACAAATTCTATCTCTCCTTTGGATTTTTTGGGATTGAACTTGACATTAATGTTTTGTGAAAGTTCTACAACGGAAATAAGAAATGCTGAACTACAAGGTCATGAAGCGTCTTGTTAATAACAGCTGAAGTGAGTCTGTGATGTCAAAAATCTGACTGTTGACTTTTTTCAACTTTTGCCAAGTCTCAATTGTCGCATTTTAAATAACCCCTGATTAAGGTTCATTTATCATTATCATTTAAATCTGTCTGAACTGTCGTTCTATGTTTATACCCCCAATAGGACCGTTTATCGTATGGCCTATCGGACACGCAGCATAGCCCAAGAATCAAGAGGGCCTAAATACGTCTGTTGCCCAGGATGGAAACAACACAACCCACAGGCTAACTCCTGTAATGAACGTAAGTATAGACTCCAGGGGTGTAGTGAGGGGTGTAGTAATACCCCCTCCCCCCCCCCCCCCAACCCAATTTGTAAGTCGGTATCAAATTCATCTCATCTAGGGATTCCCTGCATTAGTCAGAATATTTAATAATAATAAAAAATTTTTTGGGGGGGGCTAATCATCCTTACTCACAGCTTAGAAGCTAAGCTGTGATGGACGCAGCTACAATGTGATCGAGCAGAAAACATGTAACTGCGCCTTTAGCAGCCGCCATACGACCACGGAATACAGCTGGAGATCAAAAGTGTTTGATTTTTCCGGAGGGCGGAAAACCAGAGAGCCAGGCCCGGGGCCTGGTGGGGCCGGGCCCCCCTTGGCGAGCAATTGGCCCCCAACAGCAAAAGCCATACATGTGTATTTTTGAATTTTTAAGGTAGTGGGCCCCCCTAGTTGGTAATTTGTCCCCCCCCCCCCTGACGCTCAGGGCTGGCGACAGGCCTGAGGAGAGCCCAGAGACAAACCCTCATGGCACAGGAGAGAATCAACGCACACCTCTACTCACATATGGTCCGCACAGGGAATTGAACCCGGGCCACAGTGGTGAGAGGGCAAGCACTTTACGCACTAGCCACCCATGCCACCCTTTGTGTCTCTGACTAAACTTCATTTTCACCACCTGTAACATTATTAGTTTCTTGTTCATAATCGTGTCAATTTGTCTTGAATTTCAGCGGTGTGCAGTATAGAATGTCGGAATGGTGGACGATGCGTAGCACCGGAATCTTGCGCCTGTCCTCCGGGTTACACCGGACAATACTGTGAAGAAGGTGAGTCTCTAGAATCTGAAATGGTGGATGTAATGGCAGAGCTGTATGACAAAGTACATTGAGGGCACCATATAGGCCCAGCAACGGCATTTTAGAGCAAGTTCGGCGAGGAATACTAGTCGACCAGTGGATGAAATCGTGATGTAACTCACAACTGGACGGTAATAGCAACAGTCAAGCAATTGTCAAAACTGGCCCCCGTTGTGCTTTATGATATGCACAGCTACATGTATTAGTAAGCTGCGATGCAACAGTGCCTTTTGCTCCGGTTCCAAACAGTCGACTAGAGCAGTCCAACCATCCTGTGTTCAAGTGAAGTTAGTTGAACCATGGTCAACAATAGTCGTCGCTTGAACTTGCTCATCACGGTGATCATTTGTTGGCCAGTTCCTCATTGTAATTACAATGATTTGATCATACCAAGCAGCATGGAAGAGTCACTCCTGAAGAGTACTGATTAGGGAATTTCCACCACAAGAAGCCTCTCAAAGACGAATCAATACATGTAATTCAAAACTCATTTTTCACGTTGTATAACACTGGCACACTGGTCAAGAAACTACATCAACGTCATTAGCAAATGAGAATTAACCCATCTTCACTTGTGTTACCATGTATTACATTGTACATGTATTACCCCTTCAGTCACTGTACACCCGAAACCACCCTGCTTATTACTCACTGTAGCACCCGAAACCTCCTGAACACTCAATGGAAATTATGGATTCTTCAGTGAATAAACACAATGTATTACAATGTAGTACAAGTGCTAATGGGTTAATTTATTTTTACTTCTTGATGAATTTGTGAAACCATACAGTGCTGCTCATTTCATCGTTTATGATCATGATTTTTACAACAAGTTGCCCTGATTGTTGAACCCTGGTGAAGAACGTAAGCTTACAAGAACGTAATTAGATACATTTATTTCAATGCTGCCAATTTCAAAGAGCATCCTGTCTTGTCTTGGTTTGTCCGTCCAGTGAGTTGCTCCGTAGAGTGCGCTAACGATGGCTTCTGCCGGACTCCAGACACTTGCTCCTGCACAGGTGGTTGGCAGGGAGAATTCTGCGAAGAGGGTAAGTTGGGAGGAAAACAAACCGAATAATTCATTTATCAGATTCTGTTTATGTCCAAAATTGAATTTCTCAAAATTATAGACTCTGTGCCCAAACACTAGAGGGCGCTTTGTAACCTCTTTTGAGACCCCCAGTGGAAGGCCCACACATATCGTGCTCGTACTAATTCATGCATGTATGGCACAAATTACGCTCGACTTATGCTATTCTAAATGTGCACAAACCTCTAGTGTCTTCGCATGAGCATCCACCATCGGTAATGCGTTCGAATGTCCGTCCCAGTGTTCTCCCCAACTCTCTCTTTGTAACCATTGAGGGGGTACTTGTGTACTACATCTATAGAATGAATCATGCTTGCAGTCTGTCAACATTTTCTGGTCAATGTTGCCATTAGAATCCGGTTAAAAAAAAACATCATACACGCGCATGCATGGCTGATTACTGGTGCCTATTGGATAAACACTCAAGTTGCGTTAACTTCCGGTTCCAATGGTTCCAGTGGTTCCAATACTACTGAATGGCCAGTGGGCGTGGTTTAAACTGAACTGACATCACACTAAGGAACCGGGTAGAGGCACTAAGTGACTCGTGCATGGGAACAGTTTTCTGCTTTGACGACCCCATGAGGGTCAAGTTGAACTTTCACACCGACTGCAACTGTGCTTATGTGAGTTTGGCCAATCAGACAAATGGGAAGTAAGAACAGCAACCAAAAAATCACAGATGTATGTTACGAATACCTGTCTTCATGATATGATGTCGGGTGTCCAGTCTATTCTCAGATCTTACATGAAACAATCCCATCTTTCCTGGATATGTTAATTTGGTAGGCCTAGATACAACCACTAAAGCTCGCCTGGTAGAAATATGATTGAAATTGTATTTCAATGGAAGCATTTGCTGAAATGTTCATACTGATAAGCCACTTTGGTTTGGTTTCCGACTTGCCAATGCTGATGTTACACCTAAACTAGACCAGTTTAAGTACCAATTTAAGCTGGGACTGTCCAAGCTTAATGCATTTCAGTTGAGACAACTTTAGTTTGTCCAGTTGGGACGTAACACTGGCAGTCAGTGAGTTTGTTTGTGCTAACTAGTGTCATATTTTTCTCGTCTGGTCTACAGCTCTGTGTCTTCGTTCATGTGAACACGGTGGTAGATGTGTACAACCAGATTCCTGCGCTTGTCCTAATGGCTGGGCTGGCCGCTACTGCCACGAAGGTCAGTAACGCAACTTGAGGAAAAACCAGACTAGACTTCAGTAGTATGCCCCTCATCATGAGTCACGAACTCTAACCACTGGGCCACACTCCCCCTACAACTAGGGGATAAGCAGGACCATATCAATTCAGTACGGAAGCCTGTTAGGGCCAGATACGTCTTTCTCTTTCACTGCGGTGCGTTTCTCTTTCACGGTGGTGCGTTCTCTTGCAAGGTAGATTGCCTTCATAACGTGTGTCTCTCTCTTTCATGGTCGCTAGCCTCTCTTTCATAATGTGTGTCTCTCCCCTTCAGGGGGGCAAGTCCATTTTTCACAGGGGTGTATTTCTCTCTAAGTGTGATTAACTCACAGCTGCAACATAATAACTCGCTGTTGCAGCGACTTATTAACTCGCTGCCGTGACTTATTTATATGGCGGCCACGACTTATTAATTCGCGGCCGTGGCTTACTAACTTGCTGCCGTGACTTATTTATGTCGCGGCCACGACTTATTAATTCGCGGCCGTGACTTACTAACTCGCTGCCGTGACTTATTTATGTCGCGGCCACGACTTATTAATTCGCGGCCGTGACTTACTAACTCGCTGCCGTGACTTTTTTATGTCGCGGCCATGACTTATTAATTCACGGCCGCAACTTACTAACTCGTGGCCGTGACTTATTTATGTTGCAGCCACGACATAAATAAGTCACGGCCGCGAGTTAATGAGTTGTGGCCGCAAGTAAATCACACTTTCAAAGAAACATACCCCTGTGAAAAATGAACTTGCCCCCTTGAAAGAGAGAGACACACGTTATGAAAGAGAGGCTGGCTACCATGAAAGAGAGAGACACACATTATGAAAGAGAGGCTATCTACCTTGAAAGAGAAACGCACCACTGTGAAAGAGAAATGCACCGCTGTAAAAGAGAAAGACGTACTGTCTGCGTAGTCTGCGTAGTCTGCGTAAGCTTAACATCGATATGGAAACCTTTATTGTTCGTCTCCTGTTACTTGCAACTGGACTTGTGAAAGGGCTTGTGATTGAGACAACTACAACATCGTCTGATAATAGTTATTTGAATTCTTGGTAAATTTGCAAGCTCTACTTACTTGCAAGAAAGCATACACAGACATGATTTGATCTCAGAGTGTCCTCATGCAAAGACTATGTTTAATGACTATGAATCAAATAAGAACTTTGATAACAATAAATTACTCCATCAAATCAAACATCTGAATTTATGTGTGTGTGTATTTTTTTCTCTGTTCTCTCAGATGTGGATGAATGTGAAACCGATTCTCACGGTTGTCACCACCGATGCATGAACTCGGAGGGTAGCTTCACATGTTCCTGTCATCCAGGATTTACCTTAGATGAAGACGGCCAATCGTGTTCAAGTAAGCCTGCCTCTCTAGCCAATCAAATCCTTCGTAGGCTTAGACTTGTCCTCTTCAAATTTGGGTAATTCACTGTACTGTGTGTTACCAAATGGTTACTCCAAAAAATGTCATTTCCCAACTTTTCTCATTCATCCAGGGGAATTGTTTTTCAAGATCTTTCAGTGAAGAAGTATGTGGAAAGCATTTGAAAGGGTGCAAATAAATATTCCCCCCAAAAATAGAAGCTTGTTTAAGGTCAAATGTTAACTACTTGTCATGTTTTCAATTTAAAGTGACAGTTAAGTTTTGACAGTGTTAAAAAATAGATATCAATTTTCACCATGATGTACTTCAGCTTGCAGAATTTGTACCGTCAACAACAAAGTTTCTTGATCTAAAGTGTCAAATTTGTCAAAATAAATCAAGCTTTAGTTAATTTAATAAGCCAGGTTGGTATCTCGATACAGTGGTCCAGGTCAAAGGTCTTTCGGGATCAAATCACTGGCACGATGCTACACGAAAACGCAAACGCATCTTCTACTTGTAATTAACGCGCGAGCGTCGTATGACCATCTCCCGGCCTGCACGCTCATGCACCTTAGATGAGCGTCAGACAATCTTGAATGACCGGTGACCCATATTGTTGTGTGCATGCGCAGTTGAAATACCGAACTGACACATTCTCAGTGTTGCTTGTTTCAACATTTTCCTCTAGTGCACTGCTGTTTTGAATATTCATGCTATTATTTCCTTATAGTTTGTCTGACATGCAGTGCCGAGTATGTAGCACTTCAAGATAAAGTCAACCTCATTGAACAGGTAAAATGGTTACACTTTTTACTCTTACTTTTCTTACTTTTGTTTTGTGTTTTTACCTGCCAATTTGGCCTTTTTTCAGCGGATCTCTTCATTCTTACATGTAGCCTCCTCAGTTGTTACTTTCATCACTGAAATCTGTTTTTGCAAGAATTTGTCTTTTTCGTTATACATCATGAGATGGAATTTGCATCGGGGTGATGTAAATTCAATATTAGGTTTTGCCCTTCACCGACATATTTCATAAACACTCTATACTAAAGAGTTGCCCCTGAGTGACTGTGAGAACAAAATCACTCGGGTGGGACTCAACCCACAACATCCTGCTTACCAGCGCAGACGTCTTACCGCTCGACCACCGAGCTTTCCGGTGGTTGAATGGTCGAGTATACAGTGTTTATAAAAAACATTGGTGAAGGGCAAAACCCAATATTTAATTTATACACCCCAACACAATTCCATCTTATGAATAGTTTCATTGTGGTACCCGCTGCTATATCTGATTCGAACCAGCGAGCCGACCCTGGCAAGCTCAGTGGTCAAGTGGTAAGACGTCTGCACTAGTAAGCAGGAGGTCGTGGGCTTGAGTACCGCTCAAGTGATTTTTTACTCACTGTCACTCAGGGGCGACACTGAGTATACAGTGTTTATAACATTCATCGGTGAAGGGCAAAACCCATTATTGGATTCATCAAACATTATTGTTAATTCAGTGCCTCCTCACTTGTGATTGACTTGTGATGGAATAGTGATTTCACTTGTGTTTTAACTTCTTAATGAATTGTGATTCGACTTTGTGCATTGTTTCTCCTTGCTACAGAATCTTGGGGTGATGCAGGCAGAGAGTGCAACCAGAGAAGACGCCAACGTCAAAGTGGTCAACATGCCGCTGAACGATGAGCAGATGTCAAAGATTGAACTCATCACGTCGCTGAGTGAACAGATATCAATGCTGGAAGAACGGCTGGAAGATTGTGAGTAGATAAGGCTGATGAAGATAAACATTGACAATGATGAGGAAAGGATTTACTGGGAATGATTTTCACAAAAGAAAATTAAAATGATTTGTTTTTGTCAGCAAAATACTTGTCCTGTCAGCAAAATTGTGTCTTTCTTGGCATATATGCTGCAACGAATAGCCCACGTATTGTCAAATAGTGTCCAGTCTTGTCTGTTTTGAACAGTGGACCCATTAGTAACATGGTGGCATCAGCACCCCTCCCCAACCCCGACCCACTCCAACCCCACCCCAACTTCGACCTGTTGAAAAATGTCTGTCTACCTTCCAGCACATCTGTTGGCAACTTTTTCTCAAACCAGCTGATTTCCTCTTTCATAAATTCCCATGTCTGCCATAAGAAATTGAAAAAGACTGTGCAACGTCCTCTGAAGTCTTGGAACTTCCTCTTTTTTGTGTGTGTGGCTTTACAGTTGCATGCGTGAACTGTGCAATGTACTGGATGGTTAGGAGTGCACTATTAGAACGATCGAGTTTAAAAAGTTCTCATAGACCCCAAGCGGGTTTTCGAAACTGTGTATCTGTGTATTTATCTCCAGATTGTTTACCTCTGATTTTCGGAAGCCTGGTCAAGTGAAGTTCATGCTTCATTCTGTGCCACAAATATGAAATCCCATAAATGTGAGGCCAAGGTTAAGACTATTTGTGTCTGGTTTGCATTTAAATGATTCTTAGGCTGAAGCTAAAGATCGGGCCAAGATTTCAACCCTCCAAATTTGAAGACACGACCGCGGAATTGCGTCTGGCTTTTTGGATACTTCACTCTCTACAAACCAACCTAGCCATAGGTCAACCTTGTTTAATTTTAACATTGAATATTAAAATTTGTTCTTGTTTTCTTTTCAGGTACTTGTAAGGATTACCAAAACAGTAGACAGTACCCGAGGCGGAGGCCAAACAGAGAAAAACGATCGGAAGAGAAGAGGAAAAAACATTCAGTGACTTCAAATCTTTAGCCAGATAATTGTTTTTATTGCCGGCGTTCATTAGTCATATGGTTCTTGGGCTGACTTGATTTTTTTTCTCATTTCAAGCATACAGGGTCTAAAAGCTTAACTTTCAAGTTGCATTTTCTTTCAAAATTGCAAAGCTAGGATGCCAACATCTAAGTGTAAAATTTGGACAGTTGCTCTAAAATGTGAATATTTGTGTAAAAAGAGGATTTTACCCTCGCTTTCACTGATCCCTGAGGTTCGGTTTGAGTTTGAAGTTTAACTTATGTTTCTTAAAATAAAATCAGTCATGTTTTTTTTCCAATTAAATTTTTTTTAATGCGGTTTGATTTCATTTCGAAATACCATTTCTTAAAATATTTTGGGTTGTAATGATATATTAACTTCAGTAAAATAAAAAAAAACTAACCAAGGCATTGTTTAAACCAGGTTGCTAGTTCTTAACCAGTTTGCGCCGGGATTATTTTGACATTGACCGGACCTAGGCGCGGGATTGTTTTCACGAACCTCAAAGCCAGACGGGTTCAGACCATCATCTGCGGGTAGCACACCCTGATATTTCCAGCTTCACTCACTGCGAGCAGGTTGCAGACAGATATTTCCTGCCTCGCTCGTTGCGTGTTTATCTGTCATTCGTTCTGAATACCGCAAAACCTTGGCGTGTATACACGTCATCCGACGTAAACTGATTAACGATTGATCCTGTATTCTATGAATACAATACTCCCTCCCCAATCTTTCGTCACTAATGCAGAACTAACAACTGTCATATATTTTTGAAGTCTATTTTTTCATATTTAGAATTTTTGGCCTAGTTCTTGGTGACTAAAAAAAATTTTGTTTCATTTTTTTTTCTCAATTATTATTATCTTTTAAAACAATAAAAATGTAAATAAATGTTTTTGTAACCCTTTGCTATACTCTCCAAAACACTTCATATTTGCAAATTTTGCTTAAAAAAAATTGCCTGTAAGAGAGCAAGGGTTAACAGAAAAATATGAAGAAAATTTTCATTTCTAAGTTCCTGAAAGATGTTAACAAGGTCCACCAAAAAATGAACTGAAACCAGGTCATGTATTTTTTGCTAGATAATCAACCAATTTTTAATTTTTTAATTTTGTAAAAAGTATGAGAGGTGTTTGTTTTTATGTATGTCTAATATGTGTTTAGGGTATTTTACTTTTACATAGCAGAATGGGCTGAAAGAATTGTTTAAAGTGGGCTTCCTCTCAAGATTTTTCTCAGAATATTTTCACTATCTAGCCCAAGTTTTGCCCAAGTGGTAGTTGGGTCTTCTAAAAAAAAGGACTTGTTTTATTGCTGTCTTTTTCATGGATGATTTTCAGTCGGAAGAAAATAAAAATAAAGGCTGTGCGCTAGGTTGTATTTATCTGAATCATATTAAAATGAAAACAACATTTTAAAAGAAACATTTTGAAAAAAAACCATTGAGGATCAGTGCTGGAATTCTAGCTTGTTTAAATTAACTTTTTAAAAAGGTATTTTGTTCAAGGCTTTGGTGTGGTATTTCCAGCGGCGTAGCAAGGGGGACGTGGGGGAACATGCCCCCAACAATAATCCCCCCAGGGAACACGCCCCGTAACACTAATTGCCCCCCCCCCCCAACTGGAACTGTGCTCGTCCTATGAATGAACATGGTTAACTGGTTTAACAATTGGGCAGCACACTTCCTATAACACCCCCCAGCTCTGTCCCAAAAAAAATCCATAGAAATTCATGAAAAAATGCAAACACCCCCTTCCCCCTGCTCCGACACCCAAAATTGTTTTTTGCTAGTAATAATACCCGCCTTTGCACAAAATACGTACAGAGCCAGCTCTGTTGGGGGTATATGTACATTATTCTGTGACCTAGTGTTAATACATGTATATGTATAACTCAGATTTGAACAGCGCCCCCATTGAAAGCATGCTAAGACAGTGTAATACAGCTGAGGCTCACTCAATATTATACTGAGTTGTTTTGAACATTATTATTGCATGTATAGTGCCCTCCACGTAATTCTCTATAGATGTATAACAGCGATGTGTGGTACGTAGGCCTATCATTAAGAAATATGTCTCAGCTGGGCTATGAGGTTGGGTGGCAGAGAAGATTTAACCAAACTACAAAACTGTCTGCAAAAAAGCAACTTGGTATCACAAGTTAGACTTCTGATATAAGGCAGTGACGCATGTTAAAATACCTGCACATTCGGAAAAAAATGCAACTACACGTTCGAAATAAAAAACATCAACTACTCGTTATTAAGAAAAACATCAACTACTCGTTATTAGGAATAACATCAACTACACGTTATTAATAAAAAACATCAACTACACGTTATTAATAAAAACATCAACTACTCGTTATTAAGAAAAACATCAACCACACGTTCGAAATGAAACATAAAATTAATATCGAACGTGTAGTTGGTGTTGTTTATTTCGGCCGTGTAGTTGATGTTTCTAATTTCGAACGTGTAGTTGGTGCTATTTATTTCGAACGTGTAGTTGGTGCTATTTATTTCGAACGTGTAGTTGATGTTTTTATTGCGAACGAGTAGTTGATGTTTTAATTTCGATGTCTTCAAATTGTTATTTCAAATGTGTGCCAATTTGTTTTGGTCATCAAACCCCGAAATGGTTTCATTTGGTATGAAGTTTAAAGCTATAGTCCATCATTTGTAATTAGTGCATTTTGTTCGTTTGAAGCAACAAAAGTGTTCAAAATCTAATGAAGGATACTGAACAACCTACTTGATGAAGTTTCAGTTCAGCTTCATATTCCGAGAAAAACAGCATTCTAGGATCTCAATTTCAAATCAAAAGTTGCTAAATCATGTTTCGAATTGTTTTGAATTGCAGCTTTACGCGATGTCGCGCACTGATCCGACGAATTATAGCAACCGTGCGCGCATGTGCGTCGTTCCAATGCTTGTGCGCGCTGCGCCGAATAACAAAACGAACAACTAATTTAAATTTAAATGCCTTCTTTCGTTGATTTCTTCAAAATGAGAGCTTGCCAGAAAGGATAATTTCACAGGGAGTTTAGTACCCTTACTATCTTTCAACCAGTATGTTTTTCAACAATAATTACGCCAGTTACTTCTGTGGATAGCTGCAAATGATGGACTCGGGCTTTAGTAATCGGAATTGTCAAGAACATTCTGCACAAGAATTAATCACAGCAGCCTGATATTGATATTTCTGCATGCAGCAGAAATCGCACATGCTGGCCCTGTTGTGTTTACCACTTTTAAAGAAATAAGAAAGCCAAGCTCTTTAAAACTATCTAGGTACGAGGCCCCCCACTCCCCCCCCCCCCCCCCCCCCCCCCCTTCTCTCTCTCGTTTCTCTTACGCCGCTGGGTATTTCGCCCAGCCAGACTGAACTTTTTTCTTCTGTGTACATAAACTGTAAAAAGAAGGCTGTGAAAATTGTAATTTGCAAATTAAATTTGCACATGCTGTGTAAGGAATATGTTGTTAAAGTGTGTTTTCTTTAGAATGGCCTGTCACGCAATGTGGTCAAGAGAAGTAAGTGCTCTATATAAATTTATGAATAGACAATACTTTGACAGTTTTTCATGTGTCGGTCTAACCGAGTTTCTGGTCAAAATTTTGTATTTTCATGCTAAACTTCCCCCCAAAGATTCATGATATTTTTGGTCTAACTATTAATCTTATTGATATACAGAAGAGAGATATACTGCAACTATGCAAAACTGCATGTGTTGTGTGCATATTTATGTGGGTTGTTTTTTGTTTGCTTTTCACACGTTGTTGGCTTCTAATCTGTTCTGAGCTATACATTTTTCTGCCGTCCAACTTTTTGGGGGCCGAAATTTGGCACCGTGTATCTTATATAGCGCCCCCACTTTTCAAATGCATGCAACTTGTGCACATATGCGGCAGCACAGTACATGTGTACACCGTACCCGTACCCACACATACAAGCCCGAGTACGAGTTGTGTATGAGTAGGCCTACATGTTCAATACGTTGACGTTGATTTCGATTGTTATGATTGTGGTTTCGATTGGTTTCGATGTGTTTAGCAACTGCAGCAAGTTCGTCAATGCATTATGTCAATTTGTGGTTAACCACAAAAATATTATATCATTTTAGTTACAACAGCAAAGTATCAGTTCCGGATTACAGTGCCTGAAGATTGTCAGCCTTGTTGTTTCACGCGGGGGAAATATGATGTGGAATTTGAGCCCTGGATCGTGTTGCTTGGCCATCGATGTTGGAAACACAACCCTCTCGACGGTTGTGGAGTTTTGACTTCCTCAACTGGAAAAATACTGACATTGTCATTTCGACTTCGCGCGGTGTGCACTCAGTCAAGTTCGGTCTGTTGTTTGGGGCAGGAATTTTGACAAAATGAGCAGCCTGAACGAGTCGAGTGAAAGCATTTTTGTTGAGGAATTGGGTGATGAAAATGATGAACCGGCGAGGGCCGAAGGTTGGATTAAAGTTTTTGGTGAGTAAACAAATTCATTTCTACTCAAGTGCGTGAAAATTTGACCAGTGAATACTGTGTTTTAATTCTAGAAATAATAATTATGGCTCTGAAAATTATTTGCATTATGTGCTGTTGTCGTAGTAAAAAATTAAGCCTGTCTTACCTTGTCAACTTTCGAATGTTTTTGATTTTAGTTTTAGCCTACTACTCAATTTGTACAGTTTCCCCCGCAATTTAAGGATGAAAGAAAACTATTGTGCTCAAACCAAAGTTTTTTTATTTGCTTGCTCACAGCTATTTTCCCCCCAATTTTTGGAAATTCATGTTTAGTCTCTAAAGTGCATGTACTAACAGTGAGTTAGTTAAAAAGCTGACACATTAAGTTGTTGACAAAAGTTTAGAGTTCAATTATAAAGCTTATTTTCTTTATTAAAAAAAAAGAATTGTAGGCCTAATTGAACTTGTGAGAAAAGAATGTTGCACACTGACGCTACTTTAGCGGTTGTGTACAACTACAAAGTACAAGGTCTATGGAGAGTCATGAAAATTTTTAAGTATAACTTCCTAACAAAATTGGAAATGTTTCTCTGTCCCAGATTCATGTCTTATCATCATTTTTGCAATGAATGACCTTCATTCAGATGATATATGAAGAAAAAAGTGGCGTCAAATTGCAACATTCTTTCCCTTGTGAATTTGATGAATTTAGCACTTTCTTTTAATGTAATTTTTTTGATTCCTTGATTTCCTTTAATTTTCAAATTGGACTGTTTTACGAAAGTTCTTCAAACAAATAAAATAATTTGCGTAATAATTAAAATAAATTATTTGTATGGTGATGCCATTCTGAGTCCAACATTGGAATATAATTTGTTTCTAAGAAATTGGACTGTAAGGAAAATTCTTCAAACAAATAAAATAATTTGCATAATACATAATTTAAACAAATTATTTGTATGTATACATACAAATAATTTGTATATTTGTATATATATTATTTGTATATATGTTGATGCCATTCTAAGTCCAACATTGGAATATAATTTTTTTTTCTTTGAAAGCTTTGTACTTCATAATTGGGTCAACTTTTCAGAATGATAGGTTCCTGGGAAAGTAACCCCGAAGCTGTAAACCTATAATCTTGGCTTTTTTCCCTCCAATCCAAACCCCAAACACCTTAGTGAAATTCTCAGCCATTCATCCATTCCCAAGTTCAAATACTTGCCAGCAAAAAAATCTTCCCACCAAACACCTTCTTTCTTGAGCTAAAGGGGATTTATAAGTGTCTGTACTTTTCAAAAGGCGGTATTTTGGGAGCTGTTTTCCGTAATCTGCTTGTGTGTATTGAGAGTTGGGAATGGAAGGCTTTAGGGTGCGATCTAGGATTCTTTACAGGTGAGCTTGTAACGACAGAAAGGATTTGCAGCCACCCACAATGGCACATTGAACTTTCTTGAACTGCTTCTGGAAAAGAACTTCACCGTGGATGGAATTCCAGAAACTGTAAATGGGCTTGACTTTTTTTTGACTTCATGATTAGGTGGAATGTTTGGCTGTTGGTTGTGTGGTTGTGTGCAGGGAAGTGAATGTGTTCAAGTGTTGTCAGGAAAAGTACGTAAAGGCATACATGTTCACATGAAATTAAGACATTTGACACACATTTGTGGGCTAACGGCTTCCAGATTTTCATTTGAAACTTATTCCTTCTTTGTTGTTTAATGTACAGTCAATGTACATATGTCTATAGATTTGTTTAAATTTTTTTATATTTTTTATAATTTTGATCTGTGGGAAAATAGGTTGTTTTTTTTAAGAATAGCCCTACACACAGTAGAATATTTTTATTTTGTTGAACTGTACAGTGTATTCAGTGTATCTTTAAGATTCAAAATGAGTCTAGTTGAAAATTAATAACCTTTAAAAATTAAATATTTAAATTTACTGTTAAAAAAACAGTCACTGTTAAAAATGGTACAATAACAATTAATGAAGACCAGTTCAATGGATTATAATTATTTAGGTCTGTAGTAGTTCTTTCAATGAATTAGTTTATAATATAAGTCTGCAGTATACATACTACGGTACATAGGCGTACAATACTGTACACAAATTTATACACAGTGTCCCAAGATGAATTTTTATTACAAATTTATGCCAGGCATACTATGACTTTGTTTTATTAATACGAGTACAAGTACTTAGGAGATGAATTAGGCCTCATACTTTGTATTCATAATCAGATCCAGAGCTCCCAGCAGATGTGGAATTTTGATTAAATTGAAAGCTTTGCACTCTGAACATTTTCAATTTATGAACTCAGGTAGGTAGTTCCAATGTGCAGTAGGCTTGAGCTCCAGTACAAAATTAATACAGGGTGAGTAAAAAACAACAAAAGAAACCCAAATGGCAGAAGCAATTTTTTTTAAATGAAGTTCTGCATGTAGCACTATCAAAATGTAGGATGTAAAAGGCTGATTAAATTTAAGGGAATGGACATCATTGGCTTTTGCTGTAATTTTCAGAAAAGAACTACATGTATTTGAGGGGTTAGTATAATACATGTAGATCAAATAGGCCTATTGTTACACTGACATGTTGGAAGTTTTGTGTTCGAAAATGCTGGAAAAACCAAGAAAAACAAAAATGTTCAAGTACTCTGGTTGAGCAGTAGTTGAAAAATAGTTAGGTTTTTCCAACGGTGGTCGGCCGACCACCATTGGAAATGTATACAAAAAATACCATTTTCTTGAAAATGACTTCACACCAGGTGCCGTAATTTTACAGGATGCTTTAGACTGTCATTTACCAACATCCTAGTAAGGTATTTCGTAAAAACTTGGTAGTTTTATTTTTCGATGTTTGCAAATGTTGTTCCCTTTAGAGTAGGCCCTAAGTGTTCTTTCAGCAAAACTTAAACAATTCACATAGGAATGTGTGTGAATTGTTTTCGTTTTGCTAAACAGAACACACACCTTTTTTGTGATCCTTGGACAGAATTTTAAAACGGTGGTTGTGTTTAAAATTCCGTAACTTGAAAAGTACACAAGTGATTTCAATGATTCTTGTACTAAAAGAAAGCTTAGGTATTGGGCTTTCATGTCAAAGAGTTTGAAAGCGCTACATGCAGAACTTTATTAAGAAAATGGTCCTGCCATTTGGGTTTCGTTTTGTTTTTTACTTGCCCTGTATTATTTCAATAAAGGGGTAAAACATTTCCGTGGGAGTATAAATATTTGGTTCTGAAATTTCAAGTGCCAATTTTGTTTAACTGTGTAGTCAGCTCGAAGCATTTAGGCCAGTTCACTTCTTATTGAACTACAGTTAAATTACTCTGTGAATACCCAAAGGGATGAGAGCAAATCTAATTATATGGGGATTATTTTTATATTGAATGAGCGGTTTGTAGGACTTCTCCGATATAAATGTAGAGCATACTGTTAGTTTGCAATGCAATGCAGCCTTGGATTTTTACGGTCAGTTTCATGGGAATCGCAATTAAAGGAAAATTTGCATCAAATGGTATTTTGTTTTGTTTGATTTAAATTATGCATCTTATAAACACAGTGCACTCGAGCAAAATTATAATAAAATCATGGGCTCCGTTTAAATTTGAAATTTATACAAAATTTATGTTAACTGCATTTGTAGTTAATTCTACAACAGGCCTTCGTTTCATAAAAAAATTGAAGTAATTAAAATTCATCGTTTTGATTTAATATTTGCTCAATCGACTTGTTACAACCGTCATATCTTCAGCATATTGCGGTTGCTTCAAAAAATGAGGTAAACGAAATGAGTCTGTTAAAGGGTCATTTTAACAGCATGACAATACAGACACAATTCATGTTGTAATTGACGCATGAATGTTGATGAATCATTTGAAATTCACTTAGTTTCAACTACATGGGTGAGTACCAAAAAAACCCACCAAATGGTGCCCCCAGTTTAAAAAAAAAGTTCTGCATGTAGCACTTTCCAGATCTAGAATATGAAAGCCAAATCAATAAGATTTAGTGAAAGATTAGTGAAAGAATCATTCAAATCGCTCATGTACTTTTCCGGTTATGGAATTTTTTATTTAGATCTTGAACGCGCTACACGCAGAACTTCTTTAAAAAGTAGGGGCTGCAATTTGGGTTTCCGTTTTTTTTTACTCACCCTGTGTACCAGGACGATCATAAAATAACTGTTCCTCAGCTTACATGTACTTCAAATTAATCTCAATATATAGAAATTCATGTACTTGTCAGTTTTATTTAAGGTTCACACAAGTTGACATACATGAATGTAGGATAACATTTCATGTGGCCTTGACAACCAATCTAAACATAGACACTTAAATTGGTTCCATGTGTACAGCAAAACATAAACTACATGGAAATTGGATACTCCAGGAAAGGATTAAAGAGATTAAACATTTTAATACACTTGACATAATTTGTATCCTTCCTGCAAGGGTACCGTAGTAATAAATGATTGGCTTTAATTTCCATGTTTGATTTGTTTTCCAGCTTTCCAATTAAAATTGATGAATTTTAAGTTCAGTCAACTAAGCAAATTCATGACTAGTACATTAAGCTGTTTTATGGGTAGTATAAACCCTAACCCTTAACTAAAAGTTCATCTGAATTCAATGCAGAATCTTGCTGCCGTGAGCATTGTATTTTCCAAAAATTTCAATATTTTAGCCTTTGTATTTTTTCTCAAAATTTTGGTTTTTTTCCTTTCACAAAATGAAAAAAAATAAGAAATAATTTCAGTATACAGTTAAATTAAACATTGAAAGTCTTTAGTCTGTGTATTACATACATTCAATATTTTATTCTTTTCAAACAATACAATTTTACAAATGTATGTTAATGTGACACATATCCTAAATTAGAAATGTGTTGCTTTTAAAGTAAAATTTGTAAATCTCATAACAATTATTATGTGGAAAAAACTAATTTCATATGCAACATTTTTTTCTGTTTATTATTTAAAATATAATTGTACTTTTTTTGATTGTCACACTTTTG